GTCGTTTTGCTCCTTCTGTGCACTGCGATTGTCATTTGAAAATGGTACCAAGACTCTGTACCAATAACTCTTGCTACAGAACATTCAAAGTGTTAAATGTTTATTATTTATAACTAAAAATAACAAAAAAGATTGAATGTAACACGGCCTCTATTAGTCTTTAAATTTATTTCGTCTAAAAACAGTAAAACCTTCATAGGGGAGAAGATAATCTGCGCACGTTTTCTGGAGTTTCATAATCCCTTCCCATTATTTTAAATATAAATAGTTGAAAGATGATTAAACGTTGAAGATAAATAAATAATAATAATAAAATTCAAAACAGCGCGATATTAGTAATATTTATAAAAAATAAACATTTTCGTTTTTTCTGCATTGCTAACAAAATAGTAACTCGCCCTTACCTCTGCTTTTACCATTACAAACAAAAGGAGAGTTCAACCAAACGTGCGCATAGTGAAGCTACTTTTACATCCAGAAGCAAAGCAAGGGACCATATCAGCATATTCTCAGTGGATCAGGGAAACTGGACAAAAAACAGATCGAGAGGAGGATCATTGATCCGGAAGCTGAAGTACATTATTTGTTACAATAATATTAAGTTAGAAAAATACACAATCCTATGGAGGAAATTTCCAATTCTTTGTTTCAAAAAGTGAATCAAATGTCGCTGGAAAAGATGCACAGAAACTGTCGTAAACAGTCTGAAACAATAATTAAGTTGTCACTGACCAATTCATTTGCACAAGGTAATCTGATGTAGACAACAAAATGATGCAGTGTAGCCTGCGTATTAGTCCAATAAAATCCTTGTACTTTATCTTGAAAAACAAAGGAAAAGTTTTCAGAAAAATAGCACAAAGCTGTGCATTCTCCAGTTTGAAACATTTTACGATCTCATAGGTATCTATTTTTTTCAAAAGAGGTGAATGAATGTATCAACAATTCACTAAGTTTTGCTGTTAAACAATCAATGGAGTTCACGATTGTCTCTAAAGTTGATCGGTAGGTTCTCACCCACTGTTTGAATTAAATTATTTTGTTGAAGTTTTCTTCCATTGTTTCTTCCAAAATATTTTGAATCGTCGAAATCTCGGGACATTCAGAGTACTCACTAAAAAAGCAACAAATTGGGGTGGACTGCATACTATTATATAAGCGAGCATGTTTTTCTAAGAAGACACACTTAAGTTAGAATGTTAGTAACTTCAGAGCATCAAGCATAAACTTTACGTTCTGATGAATAACACAAACATAAACAATGTGAGGTCCACTTGCACTTGCAAAAATGCACGTTATTGACCAAAGAGATGCAAACTTTGAAAAGCCAATATGTAGATAAGGATATGAAGATTTGAAATCTGTATATACTTCATTTAAATTTGCAAGAATGAGTTTCTCTTCTGTTCTTGACATTTTCTTCCAAAAATCCTCAATGTTATAATACTATTTTCTGGGCATTATTCTACCTACAGCATCTGAACAATAATATTCCCATACTTTTTTGACAGTCTCTTTGAATATTCTTGCCTTGTTTTGGGTTTGCAGAAGACAATATGCCCAGCTCTTTGACCATCTAATTGGCTTTCCACACCATGTATTACTTTACATGAAATAACTTATATATATATATATATATATATAAGTTATTTATAAGTTAAGTTATAACATATATATATATATATATATATATATATATATGTTATAACACTTTTCACAAATTGGTAAAAGTCTCTCAACACTCTCTAAACAATAAAACACACCAACAAAACACTAATGTTGCACAAATTGTAAATAATTCCATACTTTTATATGAAACCAACCCCTCTGAATTTTTTAAAATCATTGGATAAATGGAGAATAAATTCTCAGCTCACCTGGACAACATTCCAGATTTTCTTATCAAACAGTGCTCCATGTCTAGTGCAACCACTCTGTCATATTTACAATTACACTCTAAAAAAACATATATTCCCAGATATATTCAAAATGAAAAAATTAAATTAATGTTTAAAAAGGGCAATAGTTATGATCAAATGAACTACAGACCTATATCCCTGTTATTAGGATATTCAAAAATTCTGGAAAAAGCTTTTCAATGATAGACTCAAACAGTTTCTCAATGCATAAATGTCCCCACAAATGCACAACATGGCTTCAGGAGTAATAGATCCACAGACACAGCCATCTTCTCCTTTTTAAATGACATACTTGTTGCACTAACTCAGAAGGAAATTCCCATTGGCCTTTTCTTAGATTTCTCAAAAGCCTTTGACATTATTGATCATCATATACTTTTAACAAAACTAGAAATGCTAGGGATTTGAGGCATTGCGGGCCAATGGATCAAATCATATTTATCAAACCATAGTCAAATAGTCGCCCTCTAGCACACTAAAGAAAACAAAATATCCTCATACTACTCCTGCCCTCAGATGATAAATTGTGGAGTCCTGCAATGATCCAACTTAGGGCCAATTCTATTCATTATATACATAAATGGCATGCCTTTGGCTTTAACAAATAACAAAATAATTTTGTTTGCAGATGACACAAACATAATCATCGAAGCAAAAACATAACAATCATTAGCAAAAGAAACTCACAAAATATTGCATGCAGTAGTAAAATGGTTTCAAGAGAACAAACTCATTATAAATACCAGCAAGACAGTCTTTCTAAATTTCATGAATCCCTGATCTAACAAAAAACTCTCACAGCATTTGTTCATAAATATTAACCTTGTAACAAAATCTCATGAAACTACCTTCCTCGGTCTAACAATTCAAGAAAACCCAAAATGAAATGCTCACAGCTCATATCTTAACAATGAGCTCACCAAATCTTGCTATGCCTTATACAACTGATCAGCCTAAACCATCATTAAAATAATGACATCTGAGAACTCATGTTTAAAATGTAACAAGGTCAATATTTAAACATGTAATGGACTTTTCTTACACGATTCAGAATTAAAACAAAATTTGTGTTAACAAAATGTTTCTTGCATCAGTTGATTTCTATATTATTCTTGTCTAGTGATCTCAATTTGCATTTCGATATTACATAAAAAGGTATTATTAAATTTGTTAAAAGGAAACAGAGTATAATTATTGATCAATTAAAGGTAATCAATTTTTTTAAATTGAATATTTATTAAGTTAGAAAATTCATTGTTCCTAATAATTTGAATGCTGTTTTGCAGCGGAAAACACTCAAAGGCTTTGGAACTATGCATCGAACTTCCATATTCTGAGGAAACTAACATAGAATTTTAAAATTATGTAAATCTTACGTTGCGTATCTGCAGCTTTTAATTGCAGTGAATATTTCAAATTATTCAAAGAATAAAAATAGTACCTCTTCAACCGATGTCTTCCTGGTATTTTTCTCAGAAATAAATACTCCATATTGTAACTAGAGAACATGTACATCACATAAAGAGGTATCATTTTTTCTCCATAAAAAACAAACAAGGTCTGAATACCAAGATATATTGATTTTGATATGACAAGAGATTGCATGAAATTCTTGGATGCAAGATAATGTAAGAATTGTAATGAACACATCTCACTTAATTATATTTATAGAATTTGAAACTAAATAAATGAAGTTATTCATATTTTCTACTTTACTGGTTAACAAGACTATATCATCAATAAAATGACAACTGCTCTGTACCCATGGTTAAAATGTAAACAAATCTATTGACTAAACAATTAATATATTCTAGCTTTAATTGATTCTGAACAAGCTAATAAAACATGTTGTTGCCATAGAAATCAATTAATTCCCATATGCATTCTCGTCTGATAACCACAATTAGCTTTTCAATATTATTTAAAAAGGAATTTTTAATTTGTTCATCAGAGTAAGAATACAGAAGGAGAATAGAAGGATACAATTAAAAAATTTTAAGAAATGAAAAAACTGTTTCATTAAACTGAATATTTATTATTACTTTCAGTCATTTTAACAAAAACAAAGAAAGCCATCGGAAAGTAAAGAGTAATCATTGATTGTAATACACTCCTTAGTGATCTGAAATTTCTTCTTTTGCTGCTAAAATATACTAAGCTGTGGCATGGAATTGTCATTTTCTGAGAAAATTTACACAGAATTTCAAAACTTTATAAATAATGTATTGATTAGCATCACCATTCTGTTGTAAACATTTTCAGAATCTTATAAAAAACATAAATAGTACCATACTACTTGAAGCAATGATATGAAAATACTAAATTAAAAACGAGAGCCTCAATTCTAAGATATACTGATATTGCTAGTACAAGCAGCTGTACAAAATTCTTTCCATTCATTATAATGTAAGAATTGTAATGAGCAGATCACACTCAATAATTTATCATTTTCACACTCATGCGCGTTTACTATATTAAAGAAAGAAGATAGCGGTGTTTCAGAAGGCATAAAATATTTTTTCTACAGAGATATACTGTATAAGCTATTTTGAAAGGCTTAATCCCAAGCACATTTTTATAATAACATGCTTCTAAATTTTAATTGGTACAGAATTGGAGATCGTTAATAGTTTGGACAGATGCATAAGTGAAAAAAATTTTAAAGTACTCTCTTAGATATAAAGAAAATGGAATAGAAAAGAAAAGTAGTGGATAATTGTATTTTCATTATGCCCAGTGTAGCTATAATAACAAGTTTAGGAAATAATTTAAGCAGATCAAAACACTATTTTATACTATTTAAATAGAAAAGGAGGGTTTCAAGTTACAACATCAATTTTTGTAATTTCTATGTACACTGTCATTATCCAATAATTTTACTAAAAAAAGGAGATTTGGAAATGCAGAACTTTCTCTTGTGATTCCGTTGACATAACTATTTGTATATTTTAAACATTTGCAAAATTTCATAGCAGTCAATGCATATTTTTGTAGAATCTTCTGCTCGAGTTTTTATATTCTGTCATCCTACAACCGTAATTACCCTAACACTTTGTCAAGTGGGAAATAAACCACAAGGACCTAGTCGACATTCACTTTCCACAAAATTGCACCGCGATTCTTAGGTGATTTGGCCTCTTCTGGAGCAGTGGCGGTGTACGACGCAAGACGAGCTGCCAAGAAAGTCGCGCCAGTGGAGTTAGCTCGGAGGGCGGCGATGAAGTCGGGGGATGGTTCAGTGGTGGTAGTTTTGGAGGTATCTCCATCATCGATGGGGTCGCTCGATTTATAATTGACACCTGTTGAAGTGTCGTTGAAGACCGGATCAGAAGCAAGACTTTCGTTTTTAAAGTCACCGACAGCCATATTCGTTGTCACACCGGCTGTAGAAACATGAACTCTTACGAGCTCTGGTGCAGGCATCATGTTGTAGAAGTCTCCAGTCCCGCTGTAGTTCTTCAGTGATGCTATTTGGTCTTCTTCTGCCCCAACAAATTCCACATTCGTATGGGATACACTTCCGTTTCCTAGGGCATCATTAAAGGCTTCTTCCCCTTGTCCCACATCCAAAGACGACATTCCAGGCCATGAATCTTTGTGAAACTGAGTAACATCAATGATGTCTAATTGCTCAGGAAATACAGCTGAGATATTAGAAGAATTTTCCACCCGGATCAGTCCCACTTTGCGGTTAGCGATTCCAAGGTTCTGTATAAAATGGCCCATCAATTCCATAACTTTCACACCGACGACTAAGCATGCGTAGAGCCAGAAGACAGCCCACAGGATTAAAATGATCTGCGTGACGCGTGGTACAGACCGATTTCTTCCTGCAGGAGGCTTCTCTTTGGCTGGCTTTCGCGGGGCAGGCGGCACCGTGTACATCTTGGAACTTCTTCGGGCGCCGGTGATGTGGCTCTCGAAGGCGAGCGACTGCTTTCCGCGTGCAGGCAGAACTGCTGACGCGGCGCTCGACCCGCATATATATACTCGCCATTCGTCGATGACGTCAGATCATGATGTCACTCGATCTCTCGCAAGTCGGGCAGTAGAACAAATGCAAAGTCTTCAATTACAAGGCGAAATACTACGAAGAAAATATAGTCTATGTCCTAAGAATTGCGCACATTTTCTTACGTAGTTAAACCACTTGTTCCACGACATTATTTGGTGCAGTTAATTGATATCTAATCTGAGTCGTATGCAGATTTTATTATTTTTTAGAGATCAAAAAATAAAACCAAATCATTTCACGCTCCTGTTTTTGCCGGCAAAGACGGTTCTGACATCAACTGATGTCTCTGCGGGGCCTCTGACCGGGAGGTAGCTAGACAACTAGGTCTGCACGAGAATTCTAGCGATCAGCTGCTCTAATTCATAGTTTTCCTATCAACATCAGGCGAATGCCGGGCAACTACTCTGACACACGGGCCACGGACCACTCGCGATTTTTTCTTCCTTCTCCTTGGTTTATCCTCACATACATACATTTTCACTCACATGCACTACACTCCCTCACTTGTTGGGATAAGTCGGGAGATGAGAGCTTGTCCCTGTTTGTGCGGTGTGACGCTGGTGGAAGGTACCTGGTTCGGGAAAATCCCGTAAGCCGACGTAGGATCTCGTCAACCAGTGAAGGAAAACCCCCTACACCTCCTGCAATAAAAACACGCACTACATTTAATGGAAATAAGCTCGTGGAATTACTAATGAATCAATTGAATGGGTGAAAGCCAGAACGATATAAGTGACATTTTGTAAATTCAGATAAATATGTTCATTTAAATGAATATTACTCTAAAGTTGTTGTGATTTGTTTCGTCATTAAAACCAATGCATTTCACATGTTCATTAACACCACAAAAATACATTGCCACTGACTAGACTAAAATAAACACGTTTTTTCTCAGAATTTATAAAATGTCACTCATACTGTTCTGCTTTTCACCCATTCAATTAATCAATCTCGCCCCCCTGGTGCCAATCTCGTTACCTCCCTATGTTATCACCCCAACAGATCGCCTTTCTAGTGCCAAATTCGCATCAACAGTCCGTCACCCTAGCGCCAAACTCTGACACATCTTGCGTAAGTTACCTGCATGGGCAGAAGTAACGAAAAGACTAGACTCCCCTTCAAGAGTTGGGAGAAACGATCACAAATGCAAAATAAAAAGTAGATGTCGGAGATCCGACGTAGGCAAATATTCATTTGTAAATCGTACGGATAAAAATTGGAATGAAATTCCTGCAACGGTCCTAGAGCCTTTTTCTGGCTCTGTTGGTGTTTTTAGAAGACGACTTAATAAGTACTTGTAGAGGATGTACTTTACTGCACAGCTCAGAATCCATAATTCAAGTGATTTGTAGATTATTATAGATAAAGTGTAGTGTAGTGCAGTGCAGAGGAAAGCTACCTTAATTAGTTACATGGCATAACCAAATAAAGATATGGTGAAAATGTAGTGTAGTGTAATGCAGTGTAGTGTAATGTAGTGAAGTGAAGTGAGAGACTGAGTGGGGAACAAATCTATGTATTTAAAGAGCTAACTTTAAAAATCCACATTGAGTTTCTATTTAAGAAAGAAATTGTATAGCTGGTTAATTTTATGTATATGTATATCTGTGAATGTTTACTAGGTGTAACTAAATATATGTTCTTCATATAAATGTAGGCA